TGACATGAATTCTTCAAAATAAATGTCTTATACCTTTTAAAAACATTAAAGTTATGACATGCTCTTCAACAAATGGCACCAGACAAAAACTGGCTATATACATGCAGAAGACTAACACTACACCCCTTTCACAAAGATATAAATATCACAAAGATATAATAACTATCACCTTTTTTTTTGAGTTGTAAAAATATCAACTCCAAATGGATAATTGATCTAATGAGAGGCCTGAAACCTTAAAATAACTACAGGAAAACAGGGAAATCTCTCAAAAATACAAGAATAGGTAATGATTTCCTGAAGAGGACTCCAGTTGCCCAGGAAATAAGAGCAAGCATTGACAAATGTGCATCAAATTTAAGGTTTCTGCACATCAAAAGAAACAATTACCATAATCAAGAGAAACCTATAATCTTCCCTAGGTATTCAATGGATAAATGATTAATATCCAGAATATACAAAGAACTGAAAAAATTAAAAAACAAAATAACAACTAGTTGAATTATTAAATGGGAAAACAAATTGAATGGACAGTTCTCAGCAGAAACACAAGTGGCTAATAAATAATAAAAAAATGTTGGGCACTGGTGGCTCACTACTGTAATCCTGGATACTCAGGAGGCTCAGATCTGAGACAACCCTGGTAGGAAAGTCCTTGTGACTCTTATCTCCAATTAGCCACCAGAAAAACAGAAGTGGTGCTGTGCCTCAAAGTGGTATAGTGCTAGCATTGAGTGCAAAAGCTCAGGGATGGTGCACAGGCCCTACATTCAAGGCCTGTGACCAATGAAAGCAAGCAAGCAAACAAGCAAGCAAGCAAGCAAGAAAGAGAAAGAAAGAAACTCAACACTAGGCTTGAGCACAAAATTCAGGAACAGAACCAATAAAAAGCCCCAAGACTGGCAATACAAAAAGAAAAAAAAAGAGGAAGAATAGCAATAAATAAATCATATACTTATCTAGTCTTACTGTGTAGCCCAAGTGGGCCTCAAATCTGAGATTTTTCTGCCTCATCTTTCTAAGTACTGGAAGTACAGTTGTGTGGCATCATACTCAACTCTTCTTATGTTCCAAAAAAATATTTTTTTGGGGGGGGGGAGGTCCAGACGTGGGGCCTGAACTCTGGGCCTGGGCGCTGTCCCTCAGAGCTTCAGCTCAAGGCTAGCACTCTACCACTTGAGCCACAGCGCCACTTCTGGCTTTTTTCTTTTTGTTATGAGGTGCTGAGGAATCGAACCCAGGGCCTCAGGCATGCAAGGCAAGTGCTCTACCACTGAGCCACCTTCTCAGCCCTTATGTTCAAATTTTGTTAACAAAAAAAATTTTTTTTTGGTCTGTCGTGGGGCCTGAACTCTGGGCCTGGGTGCTGTCCCTCAGCTCTTCAGCTCAAGGCTAGCACTCTACCACTTGAGCCACATCATCCAGCTTTTTCTGCTTATGTGATGCATGAGGAATCGGCTCAGCAGTAGATAAGGAGCTAGGAATATGGCTCAGTGGTAGAGTGCTCGCCTCCTATACATGAGGCCCTGGGTTCGATTCCTTAGCACCATAAAAACAGGAAAAGCCGCAGTTTATTAGGAAGGGAATACACTTTCAATAGTCTGAAAGTGGGCCATCTTTAGCTTGAGAATGACAATGACTTTTACCCCCATATAAGTTTGTCCCCTCGCTAGGAACAGCTCAAGAGGCAGATTCAGCTGGCTCACACCTGTAATCCTAGCTGAGATCTGAGGATCACAGTTCAAAGCTAGCCCGGGCAGGAAACTCTGTGAGACTCTTATCTTCCACCAGAAAACTGGAAGTGGCACTGTAGCTCAAATGCCTTGAGCTGAAAAGCTGAGGGACAGCTTCCAGGCCCAGAGTTCAAGTCCCATAACAGACCAAAAAAAAAAAAAAGAGGCAGATTCATTGTCTCTAAGAGACCTCTAGGCCAGGGTTTACTGGATCTAAAATTTTAGGGACTATTCCAGGACTCACTTTAGGCTGGAATGAAGCCTATCATTAATCCTTAGGTGAGTGGAATACTCAAAGAACTCATCTTGTGATATTCCACCTTGTCTTGTGGCAGCATAGCTGGTTGAAAAGCTTACAGTTTTCTGAGACCTTCTGATGCCATCTTCCATTTTAGGTTTCCTTTACACTTCTTCATCATGGTTAGCTACCTATCAGTAAGAATGTTCTTGTTTTTTGGGGGGAGGGGAATTAGGTTTGAACTCTTGTACTTTATGAAAGTAGTCTACTGCTGGAGCTACACTCCTACACTCCCAATCCTCTTACATTAAAAAAATAATTTTATTGGTATTATTAATGTGTTGTACAGAGAGGCTACCGTTTCATTAGTCAGGTGATGCATATATATATATATATGCATATATATATATATACATATATATATATATATTTGGACAGTGTCATCACCTGGGAACTTGTGAGAAATGAAAATTCTCTATCTGGGAAATCACAACCTCTAGAAGGCTTAGTTTAACAAGCCTTCCAGGTGATTTTGGTGCTCATTAAGCTCTGAGACCCACTGCTCTACAGAACCATTTGCATCAGTATTACAGAGTACATGGGGAAGAATAGCTTTGCACAGAGTCCCCAGAAGAGTAGTACATTGTGGCAGCTATTACAAGGATAATAGTGTGTGTGTATGTGTGTGTGTGTGTGTGTGTGGGTGCATGCGTGCTTGGGTTTGAACTCAGGGTCTGGGCGCTGTCCCTGAGCTGCTTTTGCTCAAGGCTAAATAACACTTTACACTTGAACCATTGTTATATTTTCAGCTTTTTTGGTGATTAATTGGAGATAAGAGTCTCACAGACTTTCGTGCTCAGGCTGGATTTGAACCAAGATCCTCATCTATCAGCCCTGAGTAGCTAGGATTACAGGCACAAGCCACTGGCACCTTGCTACAAGGACCGGTATTCTATGTAGCTAGTTTTCTTCAAAGGCATGGTCTGTGAAATGAATGGCTGCTTGGGTAAATTAGTTGATCTTGTAAGCTTCACTTTCCTTATTTGCAAAGTGGGCATAAAAAAAAACAGTCCTTCATCTGGTTATTGTAAGGCTCGAGTCCATAAATTAGAAGACTATCTGATTATATGTTATATTTGAAAGGCAATCTGAATGTATTATGAAAGGACAATCATCTCAGGTTCATTTCATAAAAGTGATAGTCTGCTTATTGTTAGTTTTTAAAGACGTTGAGTAAGAAGCACACACGTGGTACTCAGGTAGGGGGTAGGTTTATTCATCGTTCCAGCTGGCACCAGGCCATGTTGGCACTCCACACGGCTGGGAGTAACCATCTGGCCCTGGCCTAGGCCTTATCTAGGGTAGGCCCAGTGAAAGGTGTGGCCACATCGAATCCAGATGTGACCTCAGCAGACACAGATGTGACCTCTTCCAGGTGTGCCAGTTGCCTAGGTAACATGCAGGGACTGGGCTGAGACTTTGCTTCGAGGAGGGTGGAGTCTGCTCACCATCCAGGAGCGGACCTTACACTTATGTATTTTGCATATTGAAAATTTACCCCTTTAACCCTCATTCCAAAATTCTTCTGCAATTTTTGTGTGTATGCTCACGCGCATGCACGCCTGTACCCATGTGTCCAAGTGTGCTTGTCCTAGGGCTTGAACTCAGGTCCTTGGTCTATTTAGCTGTTTTACTCAGTCTGGCGCTCTACCACTTGAACCAAATCTCCACTTCTTTTTGTTGTTCTGTTTTGCCTAGGCCCTAGTGTGCCCATGTGCCCATTTGTGCTTGAACTCAGAGTCTGGGCTTGGGTCCATTAGTTGTTTCACTCAAGGCTAGCACTCTACCACTTGAACCACTGCTCCACTTCTGGCTTTTTTGGTGGTTATTTGGAGATAAGTCTCACTTTGGCTGGGCTGGCTTCAAATCATGATCCTCATATCTTAGCCTCTTGAGTAGCTAGGGTTTCAGGCATGAGCCACCAGGTCCCAGCTCTGGTGGTAAATAGGACGAGAGAATCATGGACTTTGTCAGAGCTGCCTTCAAACCAGGATCCTCAAGATTTTGAGCCTCCCAAGTCAGTAGGATTACTGGCGTGAACTACCAGGGTCTAGCTTTTTCTGCTCTTTCGATATTCTCTGAACAGATTGCCAGATTTAAGAGGCAAGTAGAATCTTGACTACAAGATTTGACTCTTTCCCTGAATCAAGGTCAAGAGACGAGTTGTCCATACTAAGCCCTACGGGCAAATCTGGGCCTAGATCTGAGACAAGATTGTTATCTTGATCTTTCCTGGTGTTTTTAGCCACTAGCTGTAGCGTATGAAATGCTTAATGCATTATTTTGCTACATCTTATGTATTAAGACACTTAAGGGCCACATTAAAAGTCTTCCCTCTATAGAACCCATAGCCCTATTTTCCTGTGTTCCAGGGTTGCCCTCCAAAGGTTCATAATATACATTGCTTTAAACTACTCGGGTGAATGTGACCTTTTCTGCCGGACTTAAAACCTTCCATTTCCTAGACAGCTTTATCAACGTAGGTGAGTTTAGCGTGCACACAGCTGAAGCCCCCGGCTGCATTTTCATGTCTGACCAGGGCAGCAACATGCAGACAACCTAATTCAGAAAGGCTACGGAGCCCCCTCCTTCCTGACATGAATAACTACACCAGGAATCTGGATCTGCAAAAGGCAGCGCGCCGCTGCAGCGAACCGGCTCGGGTTCGCGCCACCTGGAAGAAGGGCGGAGAGGCTACAAGCCTCGAGGCAGGAGAAAGGCAGCCTCCTTGTGACGTCAAATCAGCGGACTCCGGCCCCGGCTTCAGGCCGGTTCCGGTTCCCCGGCTTTCTGGGCGCGAGCGTGCGCGAGCGCAGCTGCGTACTGCGCGTGCTCCGCGGAGGGACGCGAAGAAGAAGGTTGGCCCGGGGCTGGCGGAGGCGGCGCGTGATTGGCTGGGGCCGCTCTGGGGGGTTCCCCGGCCCTGTCGGCAGGGGTAAAACAATAAGAGGGGGCGGCGGCAAAGGGGGCGGGACGTCCGTGTTCCTCGTCGCTCGCCGCACTGCTTGGCGCCCGGGAAGCGGTGGTTGTGGAGGGGAAGACCGGCTCGCGGCTCTCCGGCTTCTGAGGCTTTGGGGTTTGTCGGAGGAAGAAGGCGGCGCGAGCCCGGAGAACCCCGCCGCGGCCGACCCTCGGCGACTCTCCTGCTGACCTCCGCGAGCCTTACCCGCCGCCGCTGTTGGTTGGAGGTGTGTACGGGGGCCGGGCGGGGAGGTCGGTGTGGCGGTCGGAAGGGGACATTCCCCGCGCGCGCGCGCGAGGGCGTCGCGGCTCGCGGTAACCGTCCGGGGCCCGAGCTCCGGTGTCGGAGACGCTGCGGCGCAGACGGAGATATTGTTCTAGCCGTCGGCTGCCTACGCCGCCGAGGGTGCGTGCGCGAGAAGCCGAGCCTTCTCCTCCGAGGTGAGCGCCGGGGAGGCTGCGTGGGAAGGGAGGTGGCCGCGCCGGCGCGCGCGGGGCGGTCCGGGGCCGCCGGGGGAGGGGGGTACAGGTGGGGCCGGGGCTCGGTGGGGGGAGACCCGGGTGGCGAAGCAAGGAGGAGGACGCGGAGCTCCCGAAGCGGCGCCGGTGGAGCCTTCCACGGGGAGCGGAGCCGCGGGCTTCCCGGAGAAGATGTGCCCAGGTGCGGAGCCCACCTGCCTCGCCTGCGGTTCGGGTTGGCCGTGGCCTTGGGAGTGGGGACGCGGTGGCCGCCCCGCCCGTGGGGGAGGGGAAGGAGGCCGCGGCGGCGGCGGCGGCGGCGGCCGCGGGAGCGGCGGGATCGACGCAGAGGCGAAAGTAGCGGCCTCCGGGCACCATTTCCGCGCACGGAAACGGAATCTGGGTTTGAAGGCAGCCGCCGCTTCCCTCACCCGATGCTCAGCGTTCGGGTACTCGGGTTTTCTCGTGCGCCTCCTTCGTCCCCCCCACCCCCCCTTTTATTCAGGTGGTTTCCTGCTGTCCCTATGCCTGAGTGCTTTAGGGAATGGATTTTTCTCTCACACCCCACTTTTTTTGGGGGGGGGGGAAGAACAGAGGGAATACAGATTTCTTAGATTGCGTGAATTTTGTTAATCGAAACTGATCGAATTTTTCTTGCTTCTCTAAAATCATACTAAAGATGGCCCTATGCTGCTTTAGTTCTCCGCATAGACCCATTCCCTTCCCTCCCCCCCCACAAGACAACTAATTTATTTTAACGGAGTTTTGGGGACTCTGCCCTCTTTAAAAACAACACGTGCATCGAAGCTGGGATGAGAAAGTTGTCACCTCCTATAAAGTTGGGGTGAGATACAGATTTTAGGTTCAAGGCATCGTACCTCATACTATGTTAGCATTGTTTAAGTACCTGGCTCTAGGAGTCATTAGAGTATCTACACTGGAAGAGGATAGTAATTCCTTGACCAGCTCCATATTTGGCAGTTAAAATAACCCTAGGCATGTGGACCAAAATTTCTAAGTAAACACTAGACTTTGCCAAATCCACTGGTCCTTTTGTTATCCAAGACTCTTGGTCTTCAAAAATAGAAGAGGTATGTATGATCAGCTTGAACTTTAGTATCAAATTATGTATAGTTTCTTTGGTTACATTGTCTTGTACTATGCATAATTTAGCCTCTACAAATTATGAAAAATGGTCCAGGAATTGTAGGGAGGATGAGTCCTCCCAGATGGTTCAGATTGTTGAACATTCTGGGCTGAAATATTAGTGGTGGAGAACAAGCATCAAGAACACAGGGGCTGGCTGGCAATGTGGCTTAGTGGTAGAGTGCTTGTCTAGGAGGCATGAAGTCTTGGGTTTGATTCCTCAGCACCACATAAACAGAAAAAGCCAGATATGGTGCTCTGGCAAAGGGATAGAGTACTACTTCTGAGCAAAGGAAGCTCGGGGACAGTGCCCAGACCCTGAATCCAAGCCGCAGGACTGGAGGAAAAAAAAAAGTATACAGTGCCCAGGGACTGGTGGCTCACACCTGTAATCCTAGCTACCCAGGAAGTTGAGATCTGAGGGTCAGGGTTCAAATCCAGACTGCATGGAAGTTGTGAGACCAACAAAAGCTGGAAGCAGAATTGTGGCTCCAGTGGTAAAACGGCCCAAGCAGAAAAGCTCAGACAATACTCAGGTACTGAGTTCTAGCACCAAGACCAACACTAAAAGAAAAAAAATATACAGAAATATCACTTGATAATTTAACAGTGAGCTAGATAGACTAAATGTAGGTGTAGTAGGAAAATGTTGGAATTGTTCTAGCGTGAAGTATTCGTTATCTGTATGAGATATTAAAAATCAAAGTTTTAGTAACAATTTATAACCAGAGTTTTTATTTGAGTGTATGTAGTACTGAGATTTAAACTCAGGGTTTCTTCTGAGCTCACTGAACTTTGTCATTGAAGGCTGGTGGTGTTGCTCTCCCACATTAGCCACACTAACAATTCCTCTTTACAGCTTCTACATGCTGCAAAATTATTTTTCATTATAAAGGCTTGAAACATAACCAGCTACTGGTGGTTCACACCAGTAATCCTATTTACTCAGGAGGTTGAGATCTGAGGATAATGGTTCAAAGCCAGCCAGGGCAGGAAAGTCCATGAGACTCTAATTTCTAATTAATCACAGAAAGAGCTAGAACTGACACTGGCTTAAGTGGTAAGAGGGCTATCCTTGACTGAAAGGAGCCAGGACAGCGCCCAGGGCCAGAGTTTAAGAACCAGGACTGGCAAAAAAAAAAAAAAAGAAAATTTTTTGTTTTTTGTGCTAGTCCTGGGGCTTGAATACAGGGCCTGGGCACTGTCCCTGAGCTTCCTTTGCTCAAGGCTAACACTCTACCGCTTGAGACACAGCACCTCTTCTCACCTTTTCTGTTTATTGTGGTATTGGGGAATTGAACCCAGGGCTTCATGCATGCTAGGCAAGCACTCTACCACTAAGCCAATTCTAGCCCTTTCTCCCCCCATTGTTATAAAGGTGATGTACAGAGGACCACATAAGTCAAAGACTACATTTCTTTTTTTTTTTTTTTGCCAGTCCTGGGGCTTGAACTCAGGTCTGGGCGCTGTCCCTGAGCTTCTTTGGCTCAAGACTAGTACTCTACCACTTGAGCCACAGTGCCACTTCCAGCTTTTTCTGTTTATGTGGTACTGGGCTTTATGCATGCTAGGCAAAGCACTCTATTACTCCACCACATTCCCAGCCCCTGAAATACAGTTTTCTATTGCCTTAGAGGGCCTTTATTTTCAACATGTATTTATGTTGGATGGGAGAACTACCATACACAGTGCTTTGTATGGGCTGTTCCTGAGACTTGAACTCAAGGCCTGGGCACTATGAACTTTTGTGCTCAAGGCTAGGGCTCTGCCATTGAGTCAGCTCCAATTCTGTTTTTTGGTGGTTAGTTGGAAACTTTTCATGAATTTTTCCTGCCTAGGCTGGTGTTGAACTGTAATACTCAGCTCTCTCTGCTGCTTAAGTAGCTAGGAATAGTGGCATGAGCCATTGGCACTTGGCTCCCTGAGCTTTTGTGATCAAGGCTAGATAGAGCTTTACCATCTGAGCCACAGTGTCACTTGTCACTTCCAGCCTTTCTTGTGATTAATTGGAGGACTTTGTTGCTTGGGCTGGCTTCTAACCTTGATCCTCAGATCTCACCCTCCTAAGATTACAGATGTGAGCTACCAGCACCTGTGCTTTATTTTTTATTTTTATTTTGTCAGTTATGGGGCTTGAGCTCTGGGCCTGGGCATTGTCCCTCAGCTCTTCAGCTCAAGGCTAGTGCTCTACCACTTGAGCGCCACAGCACCACTTCCAGTTTTTTGAATGGCTAATTGGAGATAAGAATCTCATGGACTTTTCTGCCTGGGCTGGCTTTGAACCTTGATCCTCAGATCTCAGCCTCCTGAGTAACTAGGATTACAGATGTGAGCCACCAGTGCCCTGCTTTGTGTTTTTGTTTGGCAGTACTGGGAGCTGAACTCAGGGCCTTGAGCTTGCCACTCAAGTGCTCTACCACTTCAGTCAAGCCTCCCTCCATGCTTAGTTTTGAAAAGCCCAAACTTAAGGATTGCTTAAGAATTTATATTCATTTTAATTGACAAACAAGTAGTCATTCTCTGGTAGTCATTGCATCGTTGATAAGACAGATAGCTTTTTCTTCCAGAAACCTTGGCAATAGGTTGTTTCTTGTGTCTCAACTCATTTTAATCTTCTAGTTTCTAAGTATTCTACTTTGAAGTCATAAATTTTGTTAGGAATGACTGCTTCCTATTACATTACTATTCTATTCCTTTAAACTTTTTACTTTTTTTTTCTTTCTTGATTTATTTGGCTATTCTTCCATTGCAGTTGGTGGAAACTAGATGTAAATAATGCTTCACTGGAAGCAGGAGACTCAATTTCACACCTTCTTTCTGTAACTGAGGATAGGCTCTGTATCAGTTTTCTTTCCTGTAATAAAGCTAATACCCTATCTATGTGTAGGCAGTAATGCTATTTTTTTGTAAGACAGCATTTCCTTTTTCCTATCCTGGGGCTTGAACTCAGGGCTTTTGGGGCCTGTCCCTAATCTTTTCTAAATGCCAGCCCTACAGTTTTAGCCACAGCTCCACTTCTGGCATTTTTAGGGACTAATTGGAAATAAGAATGTCATGTGCTTTTAGCCAGGCGCTGGTGGCTCACGCCTGTAATCCTAGCTACTCAGGAGGCCGAGATCTGAGGATCGAGGTTCAAAGCCAGCCCGGGCAGGATCGAGACCGTGAGACTCCTATCTCCAATAAACCACCAGAAAACCGGAAGTGGCACTATAGCTCAAGTGTAGAGCGCTCGCCTTGAGCTGAAGAGCTGAGGGACAGTGCCCAGGCCCAGAGTTCAAGCCCCACGACCAACAAAAAAAAAAAAAAAAAAGAATGTCATGTACTTTTTTTTCCTGGGCTGGCTTTCAATTCTGGTCCTCAGATCTCAACCTCCTGAGTAGCTAGGATCACAAGAATGAGCTACCAATGCCAGGCCTGAAACTTTATTTCCAGTTAATCACCAAAAAGCTAGAAGTGGAGCTGTGTCTCTAGTGGTAGAGCACCAACCTTGAGTGACCACACCCAGGGAGTTCAAGGGAGTGCCAGTACACACACCACACGCACACATGATATTTACTTTTCTAATTGTTGAAGTTATTTTAAGTAAAGACAGACCATCAGAAAATTTGAAATGTTCTAATAG